CCCCCCAGCTATTTCTAGTTGAAAGGGAATAATTGTGACCCTGAACATTTATTGACCAGCTCTCCAGTCATTAAGAGTAACTTGTCAAATTTTGTAAGATTATCAGTCGCATAGGATCACTGCATTGATATATAGCAAAGACGTCCCCTTTAAAAATGATTTTTGTTTCTGCATTGAACGCTTTTGATTTCTGTGGGACTTTTCCTTTGCTTTCTTTCAGCCTTTGGCAGCACTTATACTCCTGAATTTTTTGTGTTTTGTTTCTGGGTTGTTGTTTTTTCTCTTTTTTTTTCTTCCTTACAAGAAGACGCTAACTCGTGATGGATTACATTTGAATGTTTTGTGTATAAAAGAGGGTTGTGTCCAGACAGTAAGGTACAGTGAAAATAGATCAAAAATTTTATATCGATCGACCATGCCGTCTACAAAGTACTGGGAAACAAATCAGACTAGTTGAGATGTTTGGGTTACGTGATAAGGTCAGAGGGAAAATGTACAAAAGAAGTCCAAACAAAGATTGATTACCACAGCCAAAGATCTTTTTGAAAAGCTGGGGCAGATCACGTCAATTCATATTATTGAAGGCGTACATTGTCATTTGGTCAGTTCTGTTATATGGGTATTAGCTCTGGACAATTTTGCAACTATATTAAAAGAAAATCAGAAGCAGCTGAAATATAGTTTGCACATGAGAATGATGCTAAAAATGCCATGAAAGAAAAGGAAAACTAAAAAGTGCAGGAAACGACATGCATGAAAACATCATTCATCGAGACTCTATTATGGCGACGGATTATGAAAGTCATGGAGCATGTATACTGAAGAGAGAGTTGGAAAACTATTTTTGGCAGGAACTGTCAAACGGAAGAACGCACAGTATTCATAAATATCCTGAGTACCTAGGCAACTGACATTACATTGTTCAATAACGTAATCACGAGGGTTCGAATAAGAGAGTGGAGAGAGAGAGAGAGAGAGAGAGAGAGAGAGAGAGAGAGAGAGAGAGAGAGAGAGAGAGAGAGAGAGAGAGAGAGAGAGAGAGAGATTTAATTTTCAATGGGCGTTCGAAGGTGTAGTTTGCTCTGTAGACTTCTTTTCACTGTAATTTACCGCCACATCTGCTCCTAGCGAAATGTGACCGCTGCAGCGTTTGCTGACGGCTGACCCGTAGCTCGCTTCCGCTTTCCTGTCGCCATGTGGTGTTGCCCACTGAACTGTCCCCGTGGTTTTACGCACCCCACATAATTTACCAAATTTGATCACTTTTTGCATAATTTCTGATTATTTTCCTTTATCATTCTTTGTTAAAATTAACAGGTTTGCATAATTTCACATTTTGGTGATCATTTTGCATAATTTCAGAATTTCCTTTTGCATAAAACTACGGAGACAGACTAATTGAGCCATAGGCCTGCCGTGTGCGCTGTACATTGATGGGTGGCTTGAGGCTTGTACACTTGTTTCACTTGTTTAATAACGTGCTTGCGCGCGCGCGCGCGCGCGTGTGTGTGTGTGTGTGTGTGTGTGTGTGTGTGTGTGTGTCTGAATGTGTTCGATAAAATATAACTTTTTTTGTGAGTGTTTGTCGTGTGCTCTGGTGTGGTTTGTTCCTTCTTTCCCATCAAGCATCTGTTGCCTTTATTTCTCCACCTTTTTTATTTTTTTTGCTCTCGTGTAACACCTGTAATCATCGGCACTTATGCCTAATTGTGTTGCAATTACCGTAACATTTTTGTGGTTTTTTTAAAATTCTCTTTTTGTTCATTTAAACGAATTTACGATGATGCATTCTTTTTTAAAAAGGCAACTGTATCTAAAGATTTACTGTAACCCTTCCTTTCCTTTTTATCTTGTTTCATGTTCTTACTAACAAAAATTGTTAATGACAACTGTTTAGTGTGCTTGCTTTTTTGTTCCTCAGTGTTTATTCCTGCTGGTGTGTTCACCCATTTCCGCCTGTAGTTTACCTTTAAATGTATCGTGTAGTTTTTCGTTTAGTTTGGCGCGGTAGTTTCTTCTTTTTGTTGACACTCATTTAACCCCTTGCACGCCATGGATGATACTTTATTATCTTTGTCATTATTTTAAAAAATGATTTTTACCTTTCTGTAGCGTGCAGATTTAATTTTTTTTAAATTGTATCCGTTACAATCTGCTTTTTTGCTTAAAGGGATGTCAACCGCTCCCCCCCCCCTTCCCTGGAGATAGAAGACGTCCTTTAATATTCACATTTGGTCGCTTGTAAGGACAAGGGGGCTATCCCGAAAAATGCTGTTTTGAGAAAATCGAAGTTAAGTTTTTGCCCCTTGTTTAGTTTCTTTAAAAGACAAGGAGAGTTTTCTCTATAACCAAAATACACACCAGTGAAACCAAATTTCTCCTTTAGGTAGGACAGTGCCCGCTTTTGGTGTAGGTCAAGATTTCTGGAAACCACCGAAATCTGGGTAAGCCCTCTTGTCATTAAAAGCGACCATCTGAGATGCTCTGAAGTAAAATGATAACCGATGTTGTGCTTTCTTTCTTTCCTCGTCTCTTTTTTTTTTTCTTTTCCTTTGATATTTTAATGTAGGTAAAGCAACAGTAATTGGGAACCTGTAAGGTCCACAGAGGCCGGGCATACTCCTGTTCTCATACAGACAAGAGGAAAAGATTATAATTTTGTACACGTACGCAGTTTTACATGACGGGAAGCTAGTCTGTTGCTAGTAAGGGACACCCCTCCCCCC